AGCAGCGGAATGGCCTGCTCCCCCCCCCCAAAAAAACTCCTGCCACGTGCCTGTTCAGGCCCTCGAAGGTCTTCAAGGCCGTGGTCGCGATGGCGCAGCGGCTCGCCCCTGGGCTCCCTCGCGGCCGTGCGCGACGCCCCCGCCTGGGAGGCCGCCAGGCGCGTGGCGATGGCGGCCGTGTCGTGGGAGGAGGGGCCGTCCCCGTCCCCGGCGAGGTCCAGCACGCCCTCGGGGGTGCCCTCCAGGACCAGGGCTGCGTGCCTGGATCAATGCAGTGGGGTGGAAGGAATGGAAGGTGGGACGTGGTAAATACCATGTCGGCAAATGCCCCTTGCAGAGGGCTTTGGATGATGCTGGGATCTCGGGGCAGCCAACCCAGCGGGCTGCTGGGGTGACTGCCACCTCTTTGCTCAAGGCCGGGGCCAGGCAGGGGCGATTGACTGCGCACATTCGTGGATGTTTGCCTTGAAACTCAGCAGGCACACCCGAGCCCACCTGTTAAGGTCCTTGGCCAGGTAGCCCGCGGCGCCCAGCCCGGCCTCGGCCCCCTCCGAGCGCTGGAGCATGGCGTACTGCTCTCCCTGGGCCGCCTCCAGGTTCAGCGTGGGGTCCACCTCCTGCATCCTGCCGCGGGCCCGTGCTGCCTCCTGTGGGGAAGCGCCGAGGTGGATGGAGGGGTTGGTGCGGAGGTGCGTTGGGAAACTGTTGGATGATTGAAACGCCATTCTGGCCAACACAACCGCTGCGAGGGCAGCATTAGCGGAGGTTCAGACACCCACTCCTGCCGCGTGGCCTGTCGCGATGCAGGCGCGGCAGCTTGGAGGCTGTGTCATCAACCAGGGTTTGGTGGCTCCCAACCCCTGGACACCTGCGCGCCACCCCTTGACCATCCTCGGACCTGCAAGGCAATCTGTCGTCGAAATGGGCCAAACACCTCGTCCTCAAAATCCTCCTCGTCCGGCCCCAAGCCCTTGCGTCTGGCCAAGAGAGGGGGAGAGGTGTGCTGGGTGGGGAGTTGAGGAGGCGCTGTAAGGGCCGCCAAATGTGGTGACCTTGCTCAGGCGGTGTACAAGGGAGGGAGGGTTCCAGCAAGCATGGCCCGCCCACCTCCTTGCTAGACGCTTGTACTGCTCCTTGAAGTAGACTGTCCAAAACTCCTTTTCGTTGAGTTCATGCGGGACCTTGGCGAGGAAGGCGCGATGCACCTCAGGCCGTTCATTGAAGATCTAGCAGGGTTTGAAGGGTGGGGTCCAACGAGGGATACTTAACAGAAGGGTCAGCTGACAGGAAACTGGACAGTAGCGCTGTTGGCCTCTCATGGCATCAAGTACAGGCAACACATGGCACGCACTGTTTGCTCTCACCACCCGTGCCTCCCCCCTTCAAACACTCTAGGCTCCGGTTCCTGGCACGAGGTATCAACCCCGCACCTGTGCAATGATCTCCGGAGTGAGGCTAAAGTGCACAGTGTCGGTTTGCCCGTCTGCCGCAGGCCTGACCTCTGAGGTCAGGGAGTTCGGGAGCCCCCTCCGCTGCGAGCTCGAGGCTGTGCGGTGTCCAGACGCAGACGCCCCAGCCCCACTCCCCAGCCTCGCCAGGTGCGAAGCGCGGGCCGCCCAGAACTCCTGCTCGGGCAGGATGCCTGGCACCACCAGTTCCAGGTACAGCTTTTCCAGGTCCCTGAAGGAGGCAGAGGTGGTGCATGATGTGCTGGATACGGAAGCGACGGCAGCAGGTCTGGTGGTGATCGATGTCCACCCTCCTGGAAGGAGCACCTGCTGGATCCTTGCGGCGCCAGCAGCAGTTTCTTGGGCAATCAGGTTGGGCTGGTCGGCAAGGCATTGCAAGCCTCAGAGGATGAGACACAGAGCTCTGCTGGAAAACCACCTCACCTGTCCTGAGCAAAGTAGGCGGCCTTCTGCGGGGCACTGGGCACTCCAGGGGGTGGGGTCGATGATGCCAACAGCTTTGCCTGCGATTGCTTAGCAGGACAGACTCTTGTCAACGGCATCAGGGGGGCTGTGGACAAGCAACACCCCTTCAAATTGCTTGAATGCTGTCCCTTAAGGTACTGCCTCCAACCAGCCAGCTCCTAGGGAGGCCACCCCCCCATCCAGCAACAGGCCAATCACTCTCCCAACCCTTCCTACCCTGAGCTTCTTGATGAGGTCGACAGCCTCATCGCGGTCGCTGACAGACTCAAACCCTAGCACCAGTGTCCCTGTGGGCCACTCCAGCCTGATGAAGGGCTTGTTGGGGGCCTGCTGCGTGCCTGTGACACAATGGCATGGCGGCAGACGATGTCAAGGAGGTAAGAGCATTACACGAGGACTCGTGATGGCGCAACATCGCGTGCCATGACCCTCTTGGGACAGCACTCACGGGTCACCGCTGCCAGTTCCACCAGAGCTGGAGTCGCGATGGCGCGATCCGCGGGGGACCACGCCAGTCTGGTCGCATAGATTGAGCAGGTGCCCGGGGGAGAAGAGGTGGAGGTTCCCTGCCGCGCTGGGCGTGTGAAGAAGCATGCATCCGACGGCATCCTCTGGACACCCTTCACGCACTAGGAAGATGGGGAGTGATTCCCATTCTTTCATACGATCTCTATTTGATGCTCTTCCTCAAAGCGTTTATTCCGACATCGTGCTATTCTGAGCTGAATAGGCAAGAGATCGTACTCGCGGTTCACGCAGGTCGTCGTTTACGTCACCCAATCATTCCTCAGTCCTCTTCCTGCCAGCAGCTGGGCCACCAGCCATGACACCAGGTCATACAACGTTGATTTAAAATTTATAAGCCTACATGGAGAGCTGAGTGCTCCTAACACTTTTCAGTGAACGTATTTCAATGTCCCACAGCACGTCATGCAGCGTCCTGTGGATTCGATGACGTCTTGTTTGCACGATGAGGAGTCCGACGTACAGTCTATACCCAATAGTCAGCAATTTTTTATCATATGACATTACTGGTTTAAATGAAAAGGCACCCCGGGAATGCATTTTTATCGGGCTGCTCTCGCGGATGGGGGAGCAGACCTGGAAGGTCGCCTCACTCCTCAAGTTGCATACTGCCTTCCGCCATACGTATATGGTAAAGCTTGACCTATATCGAGTCGACATACTTTCAAGCAGCTCAGGAGGGCGAGCTAGATACGTGCATGTGCTTGAGTACTTGGTGCCAGGCTCTGCCGATGACCGCCTCACCCGGTGCTCGGCTTAGACGCCCTTCTTTTCCTGCCACTTGATGATCCGATTGACCAGTACAACTGGATCCCCCTTCATCTCTATTCTAGATCTCCTGCGTGTACTGCATACACCCTCGCACCTGCACAGGGTCAGGATGCTCCCGAGGTTTCCATCGGTTCCCAACTTGCGCGATCACTCCCCAACCCCTTGGCAGACCCGTTACATGTGATTTAAAGAGAAGGGTTGTGCATTTTCCTGTGCTGTTTTCCTGATCTCGTGTCTCGCTCACTGCTGAGATCCACCCGCAACACGCTTCTACGCCACAAAACACTCGGACCGGGCCCCTATGACTGGGCCACGCTCAACGCGATGCACATCCAGCCGGGGCTCGAGGCCATTCTGGAGGCGAAGTCGGAGAGTTAGCATGTCGGGGCCTAGACGGGACACCAACTTATCCCGTGGGGGAGTTTTGAGAGGTCCGGATCCGGTGGGATCCGGCCGAGGCAGAAACAGGCTGCGGATGCACGTTGGGTGGAACTCAACAGCAGGGGATCAGGAAACAAGCCAAAGAATCCGTACCACCCATTTCGAAACCAAATGCAACGGGAGTGCCAGAGGGATGAGAGCCAGGTGGTGTGGGAAGAGTACTGTGTTGGATGCTGGGGCGATACCGGACCTTATTGTAGATGCGCAGGGAGTAATGGTACAAGTCTGAACATTCTGACAAGTAATGACAGAAAGCTCAAAGTAAAGAAATAAACAAGAATCGTGGGGTCTAGGATCTCTGAATCTGGTTGTATACCCCGGACCACCAGCGTCAGCGGCATCTCCCCGTGCAAGGTAGGAAGGTTTGGTATTGCCGATATTTCAGTTGCAAACTTCCCCACATGGCTTTCTTGTACCCCTCTAGCCGGACCTTGGTCAGACTACCGGCAAACACCAGCACGAGTTTGAGGATCACTGTCTCTTGCGCTCACTGTTTCTTGCCATACTCTGAGGCAAGAAGGTTGGCAACGATGCTTGAGCAGTTCAGGAGGAGCGAGCATCCAGGAGCAGCAGGGAGAGCAGCGGCGGGAGAAGGAAATCCGGTTCATTATTGTCTGGAGAGAATGTGAAGGGTGAGCCAAGGAGTGGGTTCCTGCTTGGCAGGCGTACTTACTGGTCTGACTGCTTAGGTCCTGCACTGGCCCGGCTGATCTCGCCAGGGTCCATGGGGTGCGCATTAGACCCCGGCGACGGCCGCCCGCAGCCGGGCGAGGCACTCCCGCTGCGCGCAACGCAGGATGGCCTGCTGGCCCAGCACGTACTGCCGGCACGCAGCCGAGCTGGCCACCCAGCCGTCGTCCATGCCATTCTCGTCCAGCTCCGGCGTGATGGCTGTGGTTGGCCCCGGTCCAACAGACCCTGCTGCATGGACTTCATTGCCAAGACCGGGCGCCGAGTCCTGGGCGCCCGTTGCATCTTCCATATCCACACCTGACGCGTCCTGCCCCCCTGCGCCCGCCATGGCCACTCCCTGCCTGGACTCCAGGGAGTTTGCAGCTCGTGGCGACCCCGCCAGGAGCGGGCAGGCCTCCAGCGGGTCCAGCAGCTGGGCCAGGGCGACGTCCAGAGTGCGCAGCGCCTGCGCCTCGTTCTCCGGGTTCAGCGGGGCGCGCCCCGGATCGTCCCCGGTCTCCATCCCGGCCAACTCCTCGGCCGTGGCCACGGCCACCCGCAGGGCGGCCAGCAGCTGCGGCGACAGGCGGGCGGCACTCAGGTTGTGCTCCGTGGCGAGGCCCAGCCGCTCCCATACGGCGGTGCGGCGGGCGTGCAGGGCCGCGTCCTCCTCGGCCGGGAGCTCTAGGGTCAGGGGGACGACATCATGCGGGTTGTCGGCGATGACAAAGCCCTGCATGGGGGCGGGAGCGTTTGGGGAGGGGGTTGAGGGGGCCAGATTGGCTCAGGGGTATGGCCGGGAGGATGGCGGTGTTGACTGGGGCAGGGTAACATGCCCACGCACATGCTGCTGCACGGATCCTGGTGCATCTGGTTATCCACAAGACAGCGTGCATCCAGGCACTTTGTCCTGCAATCCCAACGCCTCAGTCGACCCACTCCCCAGCCCCTTTCAATTCCCTGTCCTTCCCTCCTCGTACCCCCCGCCCCACCTCCCCCCACCCCTCTCTTCTGCCTACATAGTAGCACAGCAGCTTCAGGTTGGGCACCGGGCCGTAGGAGATGAAGACCTGCTCCCCCTCCTTGCAGGGCCTGAAGGCGGGGAAGTTGAGCATGCCCGCCTCGCTCAGCCGCCCGTACCTCACCACATGTGGCGCGGGGGAGTGGTTGACGTGGCAGGCGAAGGGCACCATGACCGGCGTGGAGGTGGAGGGGGCTGGGGCTGGGGCGGAGGCGGAGGTGGCGCCGGCGGAGGGGCAGGCGGCGGCTGCCGGGGGGCAGGGCGGGCCCGGCGGGACTGCTACGCTCTCGCCGCTGGCCCGGCGCGGCTCGCCGGTGCCCTGCGCCCCGGCCCCTGCGCCGGGCGCCGGGTCGCGGCCCGCGCCCGGGAACTCTATCTCAAAGGCGTAGCTGTACCACAGCTCCGCGGCCCAGGTGTACTGCCCGAACTCGAACCAGGCGGGGGAGAGGAGGGCGGGGTAGGCCGCCAGGAGCATGGCCAGCAGGGGGCGGGTGGCGTCGTACTGGCGCTTCAGGTGGCCCTGCGCGCGCGTCAGCTCCAGCGCGCCAGCCGTCCCCGCCAGTCGGTGCACGAGAGTGGGCGGGAAGCTGAGGCCGGTGTGGAAGGCGGCGGGGAGGGAGGCCCAGTAGCGCGCCCAGGCGCTGTCGGGGTCGTGGCGGTCGATCATGGTGAACAGGATCAGCAGGTTGTCCACGGCGAGGTCGGGGATGGCGCTCAGCATGCGGCCCTGGCGAGGAAAGGGTGGGATGAGGGAGGCGTGTGGGGTTCAACAGGAGACGCCGTGGGGGGACGGATGGGGGAGGGGAGGCTGGCGTGGCGGGGGCGGGAGGCATGCAGCAGGGGAGGGCCGGCACCCGGCTCGCAAGCGCATTCGGCGAGGGGCCGGATGGGCCCCCCCCGTCCCCCTCTGCCAGGGACGGGGATGACGAGCCGCCCATTCCCTGTCCCAGGCTCACCACGTCGGTCTTGCGCACGGTGTCCTCGTAGATCAGGGCCGCTGCGGGGATGCTGAGCAGATTCTCGCCGGGCTCAATGTCCCTGCCGGCCGCACACCCCCGAAGCGCCCCAAACTTGGCGATGCGGATGTTGGACTGGATGCCCACATCAGCAGCCCACCTGCTTGTGTGCTGGTTCAAGGCGGATGAGCGAGTATGGACGGACGAGAGGGGTTCGGGCGATGGGGAGGGGCCGCACCTGGCCCATATCTTTTGAGAAAACACAGCGCAATGCTTCACAGGAGTCAGCCTTCCAGCCATGATCACCATGATGAGCCTTTGGATAGCGAATTGCAGGGGTCCAATTTGCCATGGTGCACGCTTTGAAGCGTCGCATTTGTGGTAGTGCACCAGGCACCGGCAGCCATCTGAAAACCCTACACCCTGCCTTCACCTCTGAAAATCTGCTGCCGGGCTGTCATCGGCCGGGTATCTAACGCTGTCCGCCTGCATCGAGGCATCCCCATGGACAAAGGAGGGCCAGAGACCCTCGCAGTGCTGTCTGAGGGCCTGGCGGACCTCCTCACAACCCTCCTCCTGCCCAGGCCCTGGGAGGTAGGAGAGGAGCAGGGACACCGCCGCAGCCTCATTTCGCAGGTTCAGCGGTGACTGCAGCTCCTGTGGGGACTCCAGGAAGTAGGACTCGATCTGCAGAGGAGGAACAGGGGGAGCGTGCGCCGGGCGTGGTCGGGGGTTTCGGGTGTCCCACCGCACAATGTGCCAGGATGTCGATGGCCCCTGCCGACCGACTCTCGACTCGCACACCTTGCTCAGGCAGTGAACTCGAGCGACGAGCATGAGGAGGGTCACATTTTGCCCGCAGGCATGTATGCGGAGGGGGGTGTACGGGCTGCGTGCCTCCACCCCCACAGCCGCCAACAGGGACCGTTTGGAGGGGTCCGGAAGATCAAATTTTATGTCCATCGGGATTGTTGGCTGGCAATCAGTGGATCCCAGCCAGGGATGGGATCCCTGGAGACACCCTGATGTGGTGGGCCCCTCCCGACGCATGGTATTATGTTACATTCAACTGATCTCTCATGCGCGCGCGCTGCACGGCTCGGCGAAGAATCAGTTCCTTTCATGACAGCCTGGACATCCGGACCGTCGATAGCATATGTTCCTTACATGCATCAGAACCATCATTGAAAACATCATGCTTCGGGTATTCGTATATGAGAGACGAGCAGCAGCATGTTCCTGTTCATGGTATCAGTGGCAAGCGAACTCTACTACGTGCCATCACAAAGTGGTGTAGAATCAAGTTTGAGACTTCATAAAATTGGAAGGTATGGACTTCAAGACATACTGATAAATAGAAAGAGTGTCAAGTGCATCAAGGATGGGAGAGGAGAGTCCTGGTACACACCCGTGTCCGCCGTAGGTACTCAACGAGATGACTTTCCCGCAGGGAGCTGATCCTGTTGAAGAAGGTAGAAGGCGATGCATGTGAAATCGAGTTACAGGTAATCCCCCAAAGGTGTGAGTGGGTGAGCATCCCCGCCATGCGTTTTCATAAGAGACCCCTCCTCCACCTGTCCCTGCCAGCTAATTCACCTGGGTTTGCCATGCCGGGCCAGGAATCGCGCATCCCAGTCTTCAAGGAGGATCAGGGAAGACGAATCCTGGCTCTCCTGCCTCCTCGTCGACGACGGCAAGTCCACCGTTCGTCGGGACCACCAGATGAGCATCGCGCAGGACGCCAACGCCAGCCCTCCCGCTGCCAGGGCCTGCTGGCTCGGCCTTGATGTGGTGCAGGAGCGGCATCGGATGGAAGATCGCCGGTTTGATCGTCGCATTGATGCAGGTACCAGGATCACCGAGGCGCGGGAGCTAGATATCGTTGAGGAAGGTGCTTGCAAGTGCCCTGGGCAAGGGTTCGGCGCCGTGCTCACTCGGGGCCTCTCGGTGGCTCGCGGCAACTTGCCGGAAGAATGCATACTTTATGTATCCTTGTTCACGGAGTGCAAGGGGTGAAGGGGTTCTGATATGCATATGGGAGGGGCGGGGCACGGGTATCGGTCTTGAACTCGTTGCATCACCGATCTCGCCTCACGGAGCGCGCGGGGCGAGGGTGTCAGGGACACCATGAAGTGCACATTGATAGTATGATGCCGATAATTTGTATGAGTTACACCTCCCAAAATATATGGAAGCGACGGACCGCGCTGCCTGGAACCGAATACCAGCTCGCACAGGCCTCTTCTTGCCTGCTGGAGTGTCGTGATCGGCGTCAGCGCCACCAACGCCCATGGGGTGCTGTGTATCCCTTAATCGGGAAGTACTCAGGATCGTCTGCGGGCTGGTCACCCTCGTGGGAGTCTCCCTGCTCAGCATGACGGGGCTGGAGGCTCACAGGGCACCCGGCCCACTCTCTGACATCGGCAGCCTTTGGTTCCCGGGCATGCTGGCCGGCTTTGCAGCCCTGATCACGCTGCATGGTCTGCTGGGTGTCCTCGGGGCCTCCTTCGACTGGCCTGCCCTCCTGCACATGGTGCGCCAGGGGTCTCATGGGGCATGCGGGGGCGCATGCCTGTGCCGGCAGCCATGGTCTTGGTGATTGCCAGATCTACCCACATACTTGAACCCCTTCCTGCCCTACCCCGTCCACCCACCCCCTAACCTTGCAGATGACGGGCCTCTCCCTGGCCCTCATCCCGGTGGAGGCTGCCTGGCTGGCGGTGAGCCACACGCAGCTGGCGTGGCTGGAACGCGTGGCGCGGCATGACGGCTCCGGCGCCCTGGCGGCCCTGCTGGACCAGCTGGAGGCGCACCCCCACGCCGCGCGCGTTGCGGGCATTGCCCTGGCCGCCCTCCAGCTCCTGGGCTCGTGCCTGGGCGCGGCCGCTGCCTCGCACGCCCAGGCCCGGCACCGGTACCCCTGGAGCTCGGCCTGGGAGGGCGGCGGGCGGGGGGCCAGCCCCGCCCGCCCTCGCCTCGAAGCCGCCACGGGGTACTACACCCCCCAGTCTCGGCCCGGCACACCTGAGGCGTCGCCCATGCGGCTGCCACGGTCCGTCAGGAGGCCAGGGGCCACCAGCCCCACCCTGCCGGGGCCGGAGGGGGAGCCGGGGGCGAGGCGGCCCCTCCTCTGGCCCACGCCGGGGCGCCCCGGGGCGGACATTCCGTGACCCCGGGCGAGCAGCGAGGCCGAGCCCACCGCCGGGCTGAGGTGCTCCGCCAGCATTTTTCCCGCCCTCTGCGCCATGCTGGCTGACATGCTGGGGTGCGCAGAGATTTCCGCCACCGCACCGCCTGCCTGTGCCCTGCGCCCCATTCCCATTCCAGGGGGCTCAGCTCGGCACTGCCACACGACGTGCCTTGCACTCACCACACGGCGTGCCTTGCACTCACCACACGGCCCTCCTCTGGCCATCTTTTAATGATTTTGACCCTGTGCCGAGCACCTCCAGGGGAAGACAAGAGCGCTTGCAGCCTTCTTACGATTCAGTGGACCAGCGACAGGGGGGACAGCTGGGAGCAATGCCTCACACGTGAAGGGAGGGGAGGGAACAGGCAGGGTATGTCCGAGTGGCAGCGACAACGGCGCAAGGAGCAAGTGGGCAGGGACGAGGCTGGTGAGGGACAGCGGAGCCTGCAGTGTGTGCGGTGGACAGTGAGGGGCCGGATGGCGCAGAATGTCAAATGAAAGGACAGAGAAAGAGGCCGCAGCTTTAATCAGCATGAGGCGGGTGATGCTCGTCTGACCGAGGGGCCCTCGGCGGGGGAGGGGGGGCGGGCTGCACGCGCCTGGCGGCGGCTTGAGTGCGCGCCCTGTAAGTTGGGAATGGGGAATGCAGCGCGGTGTTGAGGGTCGGGCACCGGCCGACCAGGAGACGGCTGATCGCGCCAGGTCGGTCCCTGATTGCGCAGAGTGGGAATCGAGGCAGGTTGGGCGAGGCCCTTTCAGCGGGTGCGGGGCAGTGCCGGGCGGCGCCCAGCCCTTGCTCGTTACACCTTGGGGAGCTGTCAGCCCTGGACGGGAGCAGTCCACCGGGCGGCCCCGGGCTCTTCCCTGGGCCCCACCCGCCGCCGCTTGCGGCCCTTGACCTGCTGGGCCAGCTGCGGCCCAGCCTCCGTGCAGGGCCGGCTGGCGCGCAGGGCGGGGGGAGGGATGGACTCACCGGCCCCTTCATGCCCCAGTGCGGGCGGCCGGGCGGGCAGACGCTGGAGTGTGCCCTTGTGGAGCAGCGGGAAGCCGACGGGGTGGTCCAGCGGGAGCAGGACGGAGTGCAGGAAAGCGTAGCGCAGCGCGGCCAGCGGGCCCTGCCTGGGACAGGCGGTCCCCGTGTGGCAGACAGGTCCAGGGGCGCGGGCGTCCCGGGGCCCGCGGCTCATGACCTCGCCACCTGCAAGGATGCATTTCATGACCCCAGTGGGCTTGCTAACTTGCACTGGCCCCGTCTGGGGTCTAGCAGGGGAGCCTGTCCGTTACTCATGCTGCCATTCACTGGACCCCACAAGGTCTGAAGAAGACAGACTGCCCCCGGAGCGATGGAAGACAGTCCTGAGCCCCTCATCACAACCCACCTGGGGCTAGGCTGTCTGCCTCGAGGAGGCACAGGGAGGTGGTGGTGTGCAGGGATGCCTGCACAGAGGATGGGTGCACCTTTTGGGCACGCCGGCCATGTCCAGACGTATGAGCGCTGTCCCTGCCATGCATCAATGAGGTATGAGGTTTGCTGAAAACTTTGTGGAAGGCAGATTCTAAGGCTGGGCTCCTCCCGAGGTTGCAGAGCTACGTCAACGTGGCCAGAGCCAATGAAAGTGTACCGACTGAGATAGGCCCCCCCGAATGCATTTACCCCCTGGCGCCCGACACACTGTCGATGGGACCTACCCGCGCCGTCTGGAGATCGCGGTGTCCCCCAGCGCAACCTCGGTCGCGACAGCGCGCCAGGCGCGACAGGTTCCGCTGGCTGACTTTAGCTGTGCAGCGAGATGTCGGGGGGTGGGAGGCTGTGAGGCTCAACAGTATCGCACGGCCGATCGGGGACACCGATGCCGCAGGTAAGGGACATGGCGGCAAATTGGTGGGGCGACACCACATGGGGAGTAGCATGCGCCCAGCATTTCCTTCCGATGCGGGAGGGCCCGACCCACGCACCGAGGCTGCGCCCGACGGCAAGCCACTGAGACTCCGGAAAACAGCACGCAGTACGTCAGCATCCTGCCAGGGTGCAAGCATGCTGGGCGGAACAGGAATAGAGGCCCGGTGTGCCTCCTGTGCCCGATCTATGGACAACCTCCCCGTCAGGCGAGCATGAAGGCACCCGGGAGGCAGATGTCGCTGCTGCCCGAGACCTTCAGCACCCTAAGACACCCACTGGTCTGATACGAGTTCGACCCAGATCTCAGAAAGAACGGTGTTGAAGATGCTGGCGAGGGGAATGGCTGCGGGGTCATCATCGGCTGGTCCCCCGAAAAGTGGGAGGGAGGAACACACGTGACTCACCGTTCCCCCGGGAGTCTCATACCCGAAGACCCAGATCGGCGGGACGTGACGAGGCCTCCCGGAATGCACCAACTGCGCTGCAGGCATGCAACTTCGATACTCTGGATAAAAGTATCATCGGTCAAAGCATCTGTGTCGGCTTGAGATCTGGGAGGGAGACCCTCACAGCGCACACGATACCTGCCGGCGATTTCAAGACTGGCACACTCAATTTCGATGCCTGCGTGACACTCGCTATTCTAAAATGTTTGGAGGGGTGGAGGAGGTTGTTGCCAGCCTGCAGGGCGCACAGCAGGCCGGTGCAAGCCAGGAACAGCGAGCAGCTGCCACAGCCATCTTCGAACAGGCACGATGGGGCATGAGAGTGCCAGCTCCATAGATTCGCGGAATGGCAGGTCTCATGCATGGTATGGCATGCTTCAAATGCCGGCCGGGAAGTGTTCCTGCGCCCGTCATCCTGCATGATCAGACCCCCCCCTCCCCTCCAAACTCGTGCCGCTGCAGCTGAAATCTGGCGATGCAGCAGCAGGCGCTGCAGTCGCAACGGATCTCATCAGTGCCCACAGGCCCCTGGAAGTGAGGGTGCTGGGTTTCACGCTCCTCCAGCACCTGGTAGGCTCTGCCCTGGGATGCTTGAGAGAGGAGGGTTGGAGGTTGTGGAGGGGTGTGCTGACTCGCATGACATGTCGGGCTTCGGAGGCCCCACCCACCAGCCCTGATTTACCTCCACACACACACACCTGCCGACCGCATTCTGAGCCTTCCCTCGCCAGGTCGGGGCGCGCTGGGCCGAGTTCCAGGAGTCGGACCAGCAGCAGTGGGCAGCAGTCACGTTTGCGCAGCTGCAGCAGGGTGAGCTGGTTCAGCCCCGGAACCCGGGCACACCTGGATCCCCTGCAAGTCCTGCCGGGTGCCTCGAGCTTCTGCCGGCAGATTCGTCCCATCCAGACGCGATTCCCCCCTTTCCTCTCCCACTACCCCGCAGCCGCCAGCGGGGAGAACTGGGCGCTGCGCAGCAAGGCGGCGCTGCTGCTGGCCTTGGTCATCCGGCGCATGGGCGCGGAGGTGTGGGACTCGGCCCTACAGCGCCTGCTGGCCCTGGCAGGGGAGGGGCCGGTGTACCAGGGTCTGGTGGCGCTGGTCATCAAGTACGTGGCGGAGGAGATCACCCAGGCCTCCCAGGACGACATCGGGGTAAGTGTGACGACCTTGTGTACTTGTTTTTGGGAGAGTGTGGGGATGGGAACCGGTGTCAAGGGGGAAAGAGATCCACCCATTCCTTTGGGAGAGCATGTTTGGAGCTGACAGGGGGCTCGCATGCGCGTGTTGGCATGGGTTGCGGCGTTTGGCTGCCAGTGTGCACCCATCATCGGCTGGCACCACACCCTCACCCTCGCAGCACTCACCCTGGACCCCATTCCCAACCCTCATGACCATTTCTGCGACCCTGATCCTATGTCCTCCTCATGACCCCCCATCAGGGTGAGGCCAAGCGGCTGCTGGTCAACGCACTGACCAAGACGCTGCCGACCACCCTGGGCTTCCTCCAAAGCGTCCTGGAGGGCAACTACAGCGCTTTGGCTGGGGGAGGGGGCGGGCCAGCCGCCGAGGCCGCCGTCCATGCAGCCCTAGGTATGCGATGCTTCTCAGAGCACTGTTCGGCTGTTGGGCAGCGACCAGAGGTGTGCATCCACCCTCACCTGCAGTCACAGGGGCGCAGGGGCGCTCTGGGTGCACGCGTGTGCTTGGGCGGCCTCGCCGCACCGCTCGGCCCCTCACCACCGACCCGCTCTCCCACCTCCACTCCAGGCGCGACGGCCACCATGGCGGACTGGGCGCCGCAGGGCTCCCTGCTCTCATCCGGACTGCTGAACGCCTGCGGCTTCCTCCTCACCAGGGAGGAGTTCCGCGACGAGGCGCTGGGCATCCTGCGGCACATGGCAGGTCGGCGGGCGCGTGGGGGCTGGTGCTGTGGCGTCGTGGCACAGCCGCGATGCGTGGCCCCACGGCCTGTAGGGCGCAAGGGGTGGGTGGCAACCCCTGGATGCCCTCGGGGGCGGCCACCCGCCCTGTGCCCCATCGGCCATGCACGAAGGCTTGCGCCACCAGTGTCGCCCCCCCCCCCACCACCACCAAACAAAAACCACACACATGCCACAGGCCGGAAGGTGGAGCAAGAGGACGAGGCGGCGGTGGCGGCCGCCGCCCGCGCGGTGGCCGACGTCCTTTCCTCCTGCGCCCAGTCCCTGCTCTCCCCCTCCGCCTCGCTGGGCTGGGAGGGCGAGGACGAGGAGTTTGCGGAGGGCGTGTGCGAGGCCTGCTCCGTGCTGGCCGCCACGCACTGGGCGCGCGCCTGGGGCCTGGCGCCCGCGATCCCGGCGCCGGCGGGGGCGGCGGGGCGCGCGGCGGCGGGCGACGCTCGGCGCGACGCGCCGGCCGTGGCCGCCCGCGACGCGCTCCTCCAGGCCATGCTGGGCCTGGCCGGGCATGCGCACCCGCCGCTGGCCGACGCCGCGCTGCCCTTCTGGCTGTCGGTGCTGGGCGAGGCTGCGTCCGCGGCTCGTATAACT